TAATACACCAAAGAATATAGACAAATAACATGCAAAAAGTAGTCAAATTCACTTACTTCTAGAAACCACAGCTGGGCTGGCCAGTAAGGGGCAATCAGAAGGACTTGACATGGATTGGAGTGAATGATAGAAATCACCTTGGGAAAGAGTCAAATGGGAGGATACACATAAAGGAATTTATTTGTCCAATGCATCTACAGCCAAAGTAAGTGATGAGGCACCAGAGACCAAATCTGAGGTAACTCGGTATTGAGGATAGTAGCAAATGTATCCAGGTGCAGAGTACCCACCCAAGTGCATAGCCACTGGAAAACTTCATGATCTAGAGATCACTCCATTGGATACCTTGTCCGGGTGGGAAAGACAATCCACAACAAAGTTTAAACCACCTGGAACATGACATACAAGTAGATGAATACCATGTGTGTGTGTGCCACCCCCCACAAGAAAAGAGGATGCAATGTTCGACACCAAAGGAAACAAGAATGGGTCTCTCTCTGGTAATTTATATACGCCACTGCCATGGAACTGCCTGAATGGATCATAACCAGACAATTGCTGGCAAGATGAACAAAATGACCTAAAGCCTAATGGACACCAAGTAGCTCCAGGATATTGATATGGTAAGACTGTATGGTCGCAGACCATAGACCTGAAGCAACTTGCTGCTTGACCCATGCCCCCCAGCTATGAGGCAAAGTGTCCATGAAAAAATGTAAATCTGGACAAGAGGAAGAACCAAAATCCTTGCTGAAGTGTGGACCATGTCCAACTACCAATACAGATTGTCTAAAAGGGAAGGAGGAAGGGGAATAGAAATATCCAAAGGATCCTGCACAAGGTTTTATTGGTTGTGAAGAGTCCATTGAAGAGATCTCATACGACCCTGACCCATGGGATAAGGGCCAACACAGATCACCACATCCCTAAAAGAGATAGGACCTTGCAAGCTGTAAGGGCAATGAGGACTTCCAGCTCCATTAAACAGAGTAAAAGAGGAAACGGTTGGGCTTGACTGAGATGAACGTTGAATAAAACACCCAAATGGATAAGATCAACTAAATGACCCAAGCCACCTCCAAAAGAAGCAGAAGAGTGTGTCAGGCACACTCCAATTTAGAATTAGCCAACAGAAACCAGTCGTCCATGTAATGGTGGAAGCATAACCCTCAAACACACATAAGTCCAGCAAAAGCCTTGACCACGTGACAGAAAATACACAGTGCCGTAAAAAGCACAAAAGTTAGAGTGCACAATTGATAAACCACCATGTGATGAACAAACCAAAGAAAGCATCTCGATTACTGAGATATAGGAATGTGGAGATAAGCAATTAAGACGTTGATCTTGATCATCCATAAACCTGGAGAAAAAGCTCCCCTGAGGGTGAAAAATGACTCTATGATAAAACAAAATAGTGCCAAGAAGTGATTGAGGCAAGACAGATTGATCACAGACCACCAGTCTCTGATTTTCTTAGGGACCACAAACAGCCTGGAATAAAAACCCATACAACGGTGAACAATAGGTTAGATGTCATTCTGACAGTGAAGATCCTGTACTGCCTTGTACAGATGCTTATATGTGGTAGAATTCCAAGGTAATAGAAAGGAAACAGGGTCCTGAGACAATAGAGGAGGGGAGAAGAATTTGATGACAAATCCCTCGGATAAAACCTGAAGGACCTATAGATCCCTGACGAAATTTCCCCATAGATGAACAAACTCAGAGAAACAAGCCTTCACCAGTCCGAATCCACAGGGTATTTACCGATACTGTTGGCAGCATGACACTCTGTGTAGAATAAAACAATGAGAAGATGATCTCCTAGTGGAAGGAAAAGGTAAAGGATGGGAAACAGAAATAAAGGATGGTTGAGGCTCCAAGAGAGACAAAACGATCAACCAAAGAGGAAAGAGTCGACTGCTGTCTCAACTTGAGACAAAACCATGTCTCTCCCCAAAAGATCCCAACAACAGAGGAACCATATGTGTAAAGAAAATGTGCCAACAAGGATGTAATGAGGGCAAATGTATCCCCCCCAAAACCCTCAGGTTCTCAGAGAATTGACTGTAGGATAGATATGAGGGCAAGCTGAAAGCGAGAAAATTGGGCTTGGGACAAACAAGCAGGACAATCAGGGTCCACTCCCCAAATGGGCAAAACTGATTCCAGTCTCTGAGAATCAAGAAATGGAAAATCATCCTGATGGTAGGCTAAAGATAAGTGATCTGAAGCCCAGTTTTTGAGTTTTATTTGCATAACTTCTGGAACTTCTTAAATGATTATCAAAAATTCTTTGAAGTGAATGTTTATGTTTTATATTTCATTTTTTCTAACATATCACTAACTGTTGATACTATCATCAACATACAGTGCAATTAAATGTTTAAATTAAGAAATAGAAAATTTGTTTGTAGAATATCTTAAAATATCTCCTTTTGGTAATATTTGTAATTTCAGGTCTTTACTTTTCACATACACTCAATTTTTAATATTTTCTTTTCCTGTCCTTTACTGTTTAATATTTACCTCGACACAAGTCAACAGTGCCCTTGGGGTGTATTACAGATTCTTGGGCAGAGATTGTCAGATATAAAAGACTGTTTAGTGTAGGTAGTATTATTAATTTATTTATTCTGTGTTTGCAATTCATTGATATCGAGGTTCTCAAATGTTGTGTGCAATTCATTGATGTTGAGGCTATGGAGATTTCTATAAGGCCTAAGTGATAGACGTATAAACATCTGTGAGCAGGTGAGCAAAAACAGAGTAAAAGTAGGTGGATAGTCTTATAACATCCTTGGTATTTTCCTTATTAAACGTCTTCGATTTCTGTGATTGTTAACTGCAATAGCACGTTATCATATCATACTATATAACGAAGTAAATGGTCCAGCACCAACCTGATCCGAGATTACGTCACGTTTATATATCAAAAATCATCTTTTCAGTCAGAGAAAAGTACAAAAACCATAAAGTTAACTATT